TATACCCAAATTGGAGGCGAATATGAAGATCGGTTCCAACAGTGATAGATGCGATTGAAATGAAGACATCGCCAGCACTTCATACAAACGAAACTTATCGACGATTGTGTCCAACATATTGGCCGCCAATCAGTAGTGAATCAACTCTTCGGACCACTAAATGATATGCAAATTAATATGAAATCACATGAAGTAAACGCCTTTAAGAGATCGGATCCCAAATGAGATTCACTACAAAAAGCACTTATGTTTGTAAACAAAACCATTCGTCACGTGATTAACACGTGTTTGTGTTTTTGGCTTTTGTTTTGTTTGAGATTTTCATTCAAAGCATTAATTGTTTGTAAATTAAAAATAAAACAATTGCAACATTTGTTTTACTCATACAACCGGTGGTGAACTGATCCACACTTTGGGCACATGGGGTCGACATCAGTGGTGAGGTATCGTCGCATTCGCGATGACAAGCATTACATGTATTTAGACATCGGATTGTGAGTGCATTTCATTCATTGCCACACATTTGATGGCCATTTCTGGTGATCACCTGTTGTTGTCTTTGACAGAGAGTTTGAGTCCGCGAACAACAGGCCGTTCGTCGGTCGCCGACAATACAAAGCGATGATAATGTCTGCCATTCGGTCGCTGTTCGGGGACTTCGGGACAGCCGTTGGCCTCGATTTGATTCATTACAGAGACAGTGACTACAGGGCTATCATTAGGACTAATGCCAAGTAATTCAACACAAGTTTATAATTGATTTCACATTTAATTTGTTTAATTAAAGTTTGCAATTATTTAGAGATTTAGTTGTCGTCCGAAACGCGTTAATAATGCCATCGGTTTGGGAACAAAGAGTCCATTGTTTTCGCATTCATAAGGTTTAGCTATTAATTGCTGTCTTATATTCAATATGTATTGAATTGTATTTTAATTATTACTCAACCAAACAGATAACGCATTCGCTGTCATCGCTGGCCATCGATGCCATCAAACCATTAATTATGACACAAATTATTGAATAAAATTTTGACACTTTAATTGTTTTCAATGTTATATTTGGTTTCAATTCAATACATAATTTCAATAATAAGACATTTTCTTTCAATTCATTTATTCTCACATTTTTTGGACATAAAATACAAACAATATTACAATTAGTGATACAATTAAAGACTCATTCATTACATAATCATTAAATATTTGCCTAAAATATGTGTATAAAAACGGCAACAGATCAATGAGTGGACGACCGACTGGAACACCGATGGGATGAAGCGTCCGAATGGGAAGCGGTGTTAATGTGTTCATCGGTTAACGACAGGCCAGTGGTATCGGCCGACGAGGAACTCGTCGGTAAATTAGCCGAAAGGCTGTCACCTGTGTTGTGATCGGACTGTGGGCTCGCAGTGGGGGCCCTATCGTTGTCCGGATCACCACAACTACTGCTTTCATCGACGTTGTCATCGACTCCCGTCCCGCCGACGAGTGGCAGACCAGCGGTGGCCGCGATATAGCGCTGAAGAGCGTCCCGTAACGGACGGTACGGATCGGGTTCGGCATCGGTTGGCATTGGGGGCAGAAGTCGGGCTATTCTGCCGGTGATAGCGTTGACGCGATTCACTGCTTCGGCCAAACCGTTCACCGATTGTTCCCCACTTTGTGTCGACGCAGACAATAGCAACACCTCTTCTAACGCACCGATCAGATGGTCAGTCCTGTGGATAACAAATGATATAATTATTAAACAAATAGTTTTAATGTTTTATCAAATGGCATATCATTTGGTGTCCAATCACTGTTAATAATAGTATTTCTAATTTTTAAAAAAAACTTTTGTTTAAGCCTTCAATTGCTTTCAATTGTCGTTAAAACAACCAGTTTTCTAGATTTTGTGGTTATTTAAGCAAAAACATTTCATACACTGGACATCCGGCAGATGTCGTTAGTGTTATACCCTATTCTTGACTTTACTATCACTCATGTGTTGTGGAAATGTATTACAAATCGTTTTGTTTCTATAATAACATGAGTTTTGTTCCCAAACCAACAAAACATTTATGAATGCTATCAACAAAATGTATTGACTGTTTGGCGTTGAGACTGAAATCTCATTTATGATTTTGTGTGTTAAAAATCGGATTAAAATCGATTTTAATCCGACTCCCGTACTTGACGGCCACTATTGTACACAAAACATGATATATTATATTGAATGTGGTTTACAAATACTAAACAACATGGTTATAATGAGATGATAGTAATGCTAATTGCGATTAGTGTTGATTACAAGCTATACACAATAAATCGATTTACTGTGATATAGTACGGCATGCATGTCATCATATATAATAATATATATCTAATGCCACTCTTAAAAATAGATGGCGACATAACAACAAACATTTCATAATAAGCACTTTACATTAAAATCAAAAATAGCGCACAAATGACATAAAATTAATCACAATTAATTGATTTTTAAAATTTGCGGGCAATTAAATGTTATCGCAAATCAAACCAATAATATTGCTTTAAAAATAACCAAAAAATCAGACTGTTTTGAAGCAAATTTATTTGTTATTATTTGAACTAAAATTTTATTTTATAAAAGCAAAATTTCTGTTAATTTTAAAACAAAAGTTATTGTTGTATTGGCGATACCCAACTAACTCATACTCTGTGGAGATTTGGGACAAACATTTCTAAGAGTGATACTTACTCTATTTGATCCACGTATTGGTCCAGTGATCGTATGTCCCGAACGAGTGACTCGAAGAGTGTCTCCACATCTCTTGACACGATTGGATCAGTTGCACGATTGGCGCACGACATGTCTTCAGATAAATTATGTCTCTTTCTTAACACACTCTTCAACAATGAAGTGTTGGACACGTGTTTGCGTCGACCCATACTTCTACTCATCCAATAGGAAACCACTTCTCAACACGTGTTTGACGACAATTAAAGGTCTATTCGTTTGGATTAAGCGTTGATTTGAATGACAAAAATGTAATCAATTATTGAGTCATTTGTTGTCGTTTGCATTCAATCACTGCTCACACCTCTAGTCATACACTCAATCCATTCACTCATTGGTTGCCAAAAAAGTACTTTATTTTGAAAATACTTTTCATAGCATTTGACTCATGAGTTGTGGACACTCTTAGCACTCGTCAGACATTGATATGACTCATGATATGACTGATTGTGTCACTCATTAGCCTTCATGTGATGCCAACAACACATGACTCAATGACCACCAATTGATTTGAAATAATCACACCATTAGATCACTAGAAGAAGACGTCTTCGCAAAACTCGATTCAATACTAAGACAACGAATCCGAAGTACGAACACATGTCCATCACATCCAATGCCAGAGGTATGAACGCCAGCGACGGTATCACTACTACACCCACCCATTCGTTGGCCACCAATGATAATAGCATTAGATTTGTGACCACCAGTTGTGACCAACCAATGGTTCAGACCATTAATACCTATCGAGTAATTCCCGTTCAACACAATTACAATAATTTTTTTATCATTAACTCAACGCCAACTCCACCGCAATCCTCGGCCGCGACTCTCATTAACAACGGCACCGGCGGTCACATTAGTGGTCAACCGGTCGTGCATTTAGTGCCCATTAGTCCGCAACAATTTAACCGAATTAGTTCTAACACTAGTCCTAATCTCACAACAGTTCCGGTCATAAAATGCGAACATTGCGGGCAAATCGCGTCCTCTCCGTTGACCGCTGGCCATCCGTGCGGTCACTGCTCTCGTCATAACAACACATCTCGACTACAGTCCACACCCGTTGGCGCCAATCAACGAACACCGACTCGATTGCACGCGTCCTTCAATTGTGTTAGTAATTGTGATACAAGAATGAACCGAACAATGAGTCCATCGGTTTTTGCGCGTCGATTGCCGGACAACTCATTATACAGACAATCGCTTTCGAAACCCGATTGCATTGATTTGGACGTAAAGTGCATTACTATTCAGTTGTTTAGACCACAGGTTTGACAATCTATTGTCTGGTTTGACATTTTATTTCAATCAATGGTTAACGTAATTGTCTTATATTTTCGTTTCAATTTAAATACAAAATTAAATGATTTGTTTGTGTTTTCAATGAAAAGCCATAACTAATGCGAAAAAAATAAAATACAAATGAAATAAATATTATGTTTTGTTAAGAATAGCCTTCAGGTCTTCGGGCAGAGTATCGATCAATTGGTTGAGATTTGCGCGCAATTTGTCGACCGTTTCGCCATTGAGTGGAAGGCCATCGCTTTCGACGGCAGACAGTTTGTCCTTAAGGCGCAGAATCAGGTCCACCACTTCGACCTCAGCCTTGTCGCGGATCCAATCGGTCAGATTGGCCGCCGATATGGCCTCCATGTGAAGTACGCGCAACTTCTGGTTGGCCTCCCGGAGCCGCGTGTCGTACCAGCAGACAAAGTTCGGACACCGGAGGAACTTAGTGTAGAGTCCAGTCCAGTCGCCCTTCACTCCGGACGTCAGCTGCGGTCCAGACGTCTCAAGTGATCGGAGAAAGTCGTCCGGACGGAAGTGCTGCAGAATAGGCGTCCGCTTGAATGGCGACACATTCTTCTGGAGCGGCATCAGTGACGCGAAGTACCGCTCGAGTGGTATGAGAAACGATTGCGTCAGTTCTGTGAAGAATCGTCGCAATAGCGCCGACTGGACCTCCGATGGGCGCCGACTCTCCACCCCTTTGACCAATTTTTTGAGTATTTCGCGATCCTTTTGTAGGAACGGCCGGTACTTCGTGTAGACACCGGTCTTCGAGTCCAACGTCTTTATGAGTCCAGACTTTTTGATTTTAGTCTTTTGGTTGTTATTCGCTGTCAGGTTTCGGGCGTTAAAAGGCAATAATGATTAGGGTTTTGTCATCAAAAGTAATCGATTGATGCCTTACCCGACCCGTAGTCGCCGATACGGATAATGTGTGGCCAGTGTTGTAGAGTTTTGGCGAAGAATGGGTTCGTAACGCCCAGAATGATAGGTGGACTGCAATGAATTGTACTCATTAGACAATTGGTGGCATTGTTTTGGCCGTCAATTTGGAGAACATATACTAACGGCGATTGTGTTTTAGTCGTATATTCCTTGAACTCCGAGTCGTGAATCGTAAAGAATGGCCTAAAATCGGAGCCGTATTTGAGGGGCAGAATCAGACTGACCAACGACTGAACGGTCTCAGAGCACACGTCGGGCGTGGAGGCCATGACAGTGATTGGTTCGCACGTGAGTATCAGTTCCCAGAGTAGTTGTATGTGTGTGACGATCGGCGCCAAAGACTTGTATATGTTTAGCTCGTAGACGGAGGGTATGACTATGGGGTAGGGGTTGAGTGACGGGTGCGACGACGAGGTGATAGCGGCAGGATTGCCGGCCAGTGATGTTATGCTGACCGATGGGCACGGGTTCTCAGTGTTTGGCGAGTGGTTTAACTTTTCGTTACGATTGGGAACCGTTATCTGGAGCACAACACCCATCAGCGGGAGGTTAAGTGTGGCGCCGGGTGTGGGCGCCGGCCACTGGTCGATGTCGTGACACGCTATAGAAGAGACAAAGAGTAAGTGGACAGCCATTGGGATCGCATGACTCGACACACATACCGGCCTCGAGACTGGCGTCGCCGCACTCGAAGAACTGCGGAGCCATCAGTTGTATGACGTGAGTGAAGAGCCGTACGAATGGCAGTCGAGTCAACAAAACCAACGACTTCTGGAAATAGCCGCGTCGGGCGGTCCTGTCCTTCACCTGACGGAAGTATACGTAACCATAGAAGTGGGTGCCGTCCACCTGACCAGTGGTGACCACACATCACGTATAGAGGGTTAGTATATTGCGGTCAACATATGGACACTCACTTGTAATGATTGAAAGCAGTTCTTATTGTACTCTTTGTAAATGGAGAGAGTCTTGCGATGGATAGGACAGAGACGGGTCCGGAAGTGGAACTGAGTGTCGCCCCTGTATTGTCATCACCGTCCAATTGAATACAAATTAAACGCGTGATTAAAACATAATTAAATTTTCACATTTTTTGCCAATTGTTATGAATGAATGAATCGGTGGTAGACTTACATACAGCCGGAGTTGGAGTCCGGGAACGATAGGTAACATATGTTTGATGTCTATAATGAAAGCATACAATTAATTAGTGGACATTTGGGCGACCATATGGTTGGCAGCAGACACTGACCTCCCGTTCTGTTAGTTTAACGGACGCCGGATATAATTGCTGTCAAAATGAGACAAACAATGAGACCAAAGACTCGATGATTATGGTTGTGATCAATACCTGAATGGTTTGTCCCAATTCGATATCGAAAGCCACGATAGCTATACAATAGACCCATTGTTTGAAGCGATCCAACGGCAAAACAGTGGTCTGGAGTCGACTCATATCGTCTGAGCGCTGGTCATCGATGGCGGCGGCGCTCATACGGCGTCTCAGGCCGTCCAACAGCGCCGTCGCCTTCTCTTCGGGAGACGATGTCTTGGGCTCGCCGTCGACCACACCATCGCAGCTGTTGGCCATCAGGTCTTCGTCAGCCATCGATGGTCAGTAGTATCAACGCATTCACACCTATTATGTCAACGCTTTGTTACACAGCATTTGTTGCACCTGTGCTTTGGTTTAGTTCACAATTAATAATACAATTTTAATTATTAAAACTAAATTAATTACAACTAATAGTAATTATAATAACAATAATATATTAATAAATGTATAAAAAGTGTTATAAAATAATAGACAATAAAAATGTGTTGTAAATAAACGTCAAGTGATTTAACGCAACAAATAATGGCATTGAAATGCATTGAAAACATTGACATCTCTATTAATACACAACTCAATGCCATTCCATAACTGTTTGCCACCGCTTATGGCGCAAGCTTTGGCTTCACTGCATAACACCATTTGCTTACTGTACATGTATGTCATTTTGATTGGTTTCAGTGTCGGGCAGTGGAATAGACTGAAGGGGCTGTTTGTCGGTTGGCTGTTGACTATGTGTTACACATTTCATTCAATTAATGAAACGATTAGTTAAAAATTGATTTAAAAAATTACAAATTTATTTTTAGCACATTTTTAGTAACAAAAACAGAAAAGTTAAGCGAAATTTTAAATTTAGTTTGAATTAATCGTAAATTTAGTATTTAAATGAGTAGTAGATGTAGTCGTTGTCTACCGATCGGTAATAATAATATAAAAATTGGCATTTATTTCGATGGCCAACACATGCGAGGGCTCTGACTGTCAGTAATCGGGAATGTGTTAAATGTTGTGTGCATTTCATTACTTCATTCAAACGTTAAAACAATTTCTTTTCAAATCTATTTACAGATGTGTTTAGAGGAGAGAAATGTGAAGACAATCACAAAAACAACAGAAAAAACAAAATTTAGTTCAAATGTTTAGAAAGTTTGGTCCGATTTGTAACTAACGAATAGAGTCCGTGAACTCCGCCCTCGATCTGTGCCGAAGCCGTCCTCTTCTCGAACCGCAATTCTCCCGAATATGTTTTGGTTCTGCAGAGGGGGAGGGGTTGTGGTGGAGAATAATCATAGATTAGATTGTGATAAACATTGTTTCAACACTTACTTCATAAGTTCTATACTACGGATACCCATGTCTTGGGAGCCGTATCTGATCCCAGTTATCAAATACGGCACAAACCGATGAATGGATCCCTTGTCGACAATAGCGCCGGACACTCCCTGTGCCACTCGCACGTCATCGTTCTCTCTGTTAGGATAGTGTGACAAACAATTGAAACAATAGTCCCGAACCCGTCGGACGCCTTACCCCTGGAAATATCGTTGACGACTCCCCTCTCCGTCCTTCGACTCCATGGCGTCGATAGAACCCATTCCGCGATATTTCTTGACGCGAACGCCGTTTGAGAAGTAGTAATCGCCGGGCGCTTCGGTAGTTCCGGCCAACATTGAGCCCATCATCACCGCTGACGCGCCCAACGCCAGCGCTTTAATCACATGACCCACTGTTGAGACACCGCCGTCGGCGATGGTCGGCACGCCGTGCTTTCGGGCGTATTTCGACACCTTATACACGGCTGTGGCCTGCGGTCGGCCGCACGCCATCACCTCCTGAGTGATACATATGGAACCCGAGCCCATACCGATGCGCAGGCCGTCAGCGCCCGCGTCGATGAGATTCTTGGCCTGATTTACGGTTACGACTGGTATTGTTTGGACGAATATAAAGCGTATTATTCAAGTGAATTAATAATCATTTTCCTTTTCTTAAATACCATTTCCAGCGATGATCTGTACGTTCGGGAACTCATTCTTCATATACTTAATCATATTTATTTGGAACAGAGAATTGCCTTGAGATGAGTCCTATTGCGGACACAAATCAAAATAATTATTAATTATCAATAATTCAAACAAATAAAAAAAACTAAAACACATTTTGAACAAAATTAATAAATGAGTGAATGATTGGAGAAAATATATACCAAAATAATGACATCGACGCCGGCGTCCACCAGTTTCTTGAGCCGCTCTTTGTCGCCATCACGTGTGCCAATGGCGGCGCCGACGAGCAGCTGCTTGTTCTCGTCCTTCGAGGCCAACGGGTAGTCGCGGTGTTTCTTAACGTCTGTGCGAGCGATAAGAGCGGTGAGGCGTTGGTCCTTATCTACGATGGGAAGCTTTCCCTTCTTGTTCTTCTCGAGTATATCATTCGCCTCCTGAAGGGTAATGCCGTCGGCGCCGATCACCAGGTGCTGGCTTTTGGTCATCACCGACGAGAGCGGTTCGTTGAGTATGTCTTGGGTTTTGAAGTCAATGTCACGGCTGGTAACGATGCCGAGCAGTTTGCCGCCCAGTTTGCCCGTATCGGTCACCGGAATGCCCGCAAAGCCCCTCTCTTTCTTAATGGTCAACACATCTGACACTTTATTGTTTGGTCCCAACACTAACGGGTCTCTAATAAAGCCGTGTTTGTATTTCTGGCCACAAAACGGCGGATAAAAAGCAAATTATAAATTTTCTCTGGGTCATTTTATCGATGGATAACACCGTAGAGATAGAGGCTAACACTCGCTATAATATATCGCTGATGACTATTATGATTAACTATAAATCTTCTAATATTGGGACAAATATTAGACATTTATTTCAAATAATATGCAAATAATGACAGCAAATAATATGCAGAATATTGTGGTTCTATTGTAATATAAGTATTATGTAATGTGTTGTAATATGTAAGCAATATGTGTATCCAAAAACTACTTAAACAATTAATTTGTCAATTAGTATTGAATTAAATGCTATTAAGAATTTTGTCCATAAAGTGTAAGATATGGTGCAATTAATGTCTATCAATAACGCTGTGAACGTTCAAGGCTTTGGGATAAACAACTTTCTTAATCGTAAATCAATTAAAAAGATAAAAATTGAAAACACATTAAAAATAAGTTCATATTTCAATCGACAAATTGTTTATAAGTTGTATAAATATAATGATTACTGGTTTTTCCAATAAAATTTATAATCAATTCGCTATAAAAATAATTTAAAAAATTTGAGATAAATTTTTGAAAAGACACATTCAGATAATTTATCCCTCAATAAACAATTAGTAAATCATATAATTTATTTCTCAAGAGTCTTGCGATGGGCACGGGTTCTCAGTGTTTGGCGAGTGGTTTAACTTTTCGTTACGATTGGGAACCGTTATCTGGAGCACAAC